ATAGTTTGTAGTGTTGTTTTTTTGTTTGTTTGTTTTTTTACAAATGATATATCTGCCACAGCCCTTTGTATGGCACTGAAGATGGAGTGGCAGAGGAAGCTAGAACAGAAGTGGCACTGAAAGTTACTTTTCATTATCCTTACTTACTAAACCGATTGTCTAGGCAGGTAAAGTAAGCTATGGTGACTAAAAGGTGACTCACTGGTAGAACTGAGAACCACAGCAAAGAGCCAGAAAGTTACTGTGTGCAGCTTCTGAGGCAAATCCAGTGCATGATGAGTGCCTTAACTTGAAGCTGCATTATTTGTAGACTTAAAGCTGCAAGCTAAAACACAAACTGAAGGAGGGTATGAAGAAACTTTTCTGTAGACATGTGAGTATTCCATAGCCCTGTATGAAATGTAGCACCTTCTGAAGCGCATAGTTTTAAGCCCTCCATGGCAGTACTCCAATTCATGCATTCTAAGCACAAGTTCCAGCAGTCTGAATGCTAACAGCTAACAGCTTTTAGGCGTTAAAGTAGATATTCTCAGTTTCTCCGTGATTTAACTGGATCCACTGAAGGTGACCTGGAGAAGCAAACCTATCCTAGGTGTACTTAGGCTTTACCTCTAGTGGAAAATGTCTAGATGGTCCCCAAATCCGGATTAGCCTAAGATGAAGTAGGGATGTGGAATGGAGATTGCATTATTTTCTGTCTAATGGTCATGTAATAATGCCATGTTAACTTGTAAAGAGTATTTTAAACAAAATGGAGGTCAATAGAAAAAAGAAGAAGAATAAAAGTTTTCTTTTTCTTTCTGGAGCTGTACCTGAAAACCATCTTAGAGCATTTTTGCAGCATTATAATAGAGCCTTAACAATAGTTCTCTGTTATTCTCCAAAGACACTGATAATTGAGTTTTGTCTGCTTGTGGATTTAATGCCACCGTGAAATGTAATTTGTTTGCACATGAAATATTAACACTGTTCTATGCAGAAATGTGAAACCAGAAGGATGCCAGTGCTGATACTGCTTCAATTCTAACTTGCATCTTAGTGTGTACTTTTCGTTAGTGTTCTATTAATTATTGTCACAGTAGCATTCATTAGATCTCTAGGGCTTGGCAACAGACTGACACAGACAGCTTACAATCCCTGCCCCAAACATCTTGCAATTTTAATTTTCAAGGCAGTTAGCTAATGTGATATTAGCCTGTTATAACGAGGGAGAGAATGAATGTTGTATGTGACATACTTGGTATTTGTGGCAGGAGATGCATTGGAACTTGTTTCCCTGATCCTCTTTCTGAGTTTCATATTCACATTTTTCAAGAGCTCTCAGTAACTGCTGCTTATTTACTTATCCCTTAATAATCAGAATTTATGATATTTGATCTGAGTGTTCTCAAGTGTTATGAAGAGGGTTATTATGGAGCCACTTGCAGTGTAAGGCATAAGTTGATGTTCTAGACCATTGTGAACAGCAGTTTCTGTTACTCGATTCCACAGACAAAGCGATACACAAAGAAGTGATAGGAGTGGCTGAAACCACTGGGAAAAATGCTGGGAGCTGCTGCATGTAGGTTTTTTAAGAAGCCAGCTAGCGATTTGTATTTATGCTTTTTCATAGAAATGCATAAAGAAGACTTTTAAAATCCCACATGAAACAAGCAGTCCAGTGTTTTTGATGCTACCGCAGGATGTTGGTTTCAAGTTAAGTCCTTGTCTTCTCACATTAAAGCAGAATTGTGAAATTCAGTCTTTCGTCTCCCATGTCACTTTCTCTTCATAGGAGTTGGCTGTTCTGGAAAGGATTGCTTTCTGTCTCGTGCTGGCCAAAAGTGCTAGTGTAGTACTACGGATATCTTTTTAGAGCAAAACAGGCATCTTGTTGACACTGCTAAATAATTTAATACTCAAATTGACTCTTGACTCCAAGTCAAATTGATCCTTGACGGTCCTTCATGCTATAACCAGTACAATTATTTTTACCAGTAGAGCAATACATGGCTAGCACTTTACATGGCCCCTGTTCTATGCTCAAATGCGGAGTTATTTATCTAATCCATGAAGTACCAGAAAATGTAGTGTGTAAATGACCAACATGAGCAGTGTACATTAGACACTTAAAGGTAACAGTAGTTCTTGGGAAATTAATTTGTCTAAAATACATGTGGTTAATACTCTTTTCACATTTGGTGTGTATTCAAGATCCAGTATATTCTCATATGATTTGGCTGCTTGCATCATAAATTATACATAGTAGAGAGATGTGGCAAAATTTTTAATCTCTTTTTTTCTCTTTACTTCAGCCTTCTCTCAGTACTTAGGTGTAAATAAACACTGAAAAATTACCCTGAACATTTCAGATACACTTTCTGAAGCACTGATGGTGGAGCAGCTAAGAGTTACCTGGGGAATGGAGGAGTTAATCTAAACCACACCATGTCTCTAAAATATTCATTGTTTCAAAAAGAAGCAGCCACATGAAAGCTTATTAAAATAAAGCACTCGCTTGCGGGGAGAAATGTGTGGTAGTGTATAGAAGAGTAAAATCTCTTTCATTTAAGAAAACATGTCTTCCGCTCTCACCAGGCCCTGAAGTGAAAGCAAGGCTGTGCCACACAAACTACATTTTCCTTGAGCAAGTGCATGGGAATGGGGCAGAACCCGCTGTGCTGTTGGCACGTTTATTTTGTAAGTTCTTTGAGGTGAGCTGCTGTATTTTGCCTCTTGAGATCAGAGCCATTATACTCCTCTGTTAAGGACCTGTGGGCAGCTTCCAAGGCTGAAAGTTTCTAAGTTTGCCCTGCACTGGTTGTCTTACCTGTAAATCCCTTGTTTTTCCAGTTTAAGTCTGTTAGCGTACATTCACAGCAATATGAACATGCAATAGGGGAGGAAACGCTTTGTAATGCTCCCTATCTTGTTCTCCTGCTTGACAATGTAATCTGACACAAGCTTTAGCACTTCAGATTGATAACAAATAAAATATTTGAGCCAGGAAAGTAGGTGGAAAGTTTGGTTCTGCTCTGATGACCATGCTGCAGTATTGCAGACCAGAACAGAGAGCAGGTAGGATCACCTAGTTTGTGATTTGGGCTGAAAAGGGATGCCTGATTCTGATACAAAACGTGCATAAAAGTAGGTTGTGTGTCCTTACCTCCTTCCTGATACTCTTCCAGGAGCCCTTATAAGAAAGAATTGCGTGGGTTTGCTTTGGTGGCCTCAAATCAGTGAATGCCTCTGGGAGAATTTCCCATTAGCCCGGGTACCACGTGGAATTTTTCTCTCAAAGTGACTTTTTTTTTAATGACCATGTTTTTGGTCATTAAACACAAATTAATTAACATTAAGTAACGTTAAACATGAATTTATGTTCTTTTCTACAAACTGTAAACCATGCAGCTAAGCAACCACACCTGTTACATCTGTGTAGTTATGGTCTTTTATATTGTTGCTGTTGGAATTGTTATTACTACAGTGTTTTCTCTCAAACATTGTGATAAACTGTAGAGTTTGTATCTACCAACATTAAGGGTACCTATGAGTTTGAGGGGCTGTCTGCGTGGTACGATAAAGAGCTCTCCCAGCTAGCTCCAAACAAATAGGGTCATTCACAGTTTGCACTGTGGCACCGTGCAGAGATTTAGGTGGAGTAACTGAGCAGTGTGCTGACCCTGAACAAAGACCCTGAACACAAATTCAGCTGCAGCTTGTTTCTGCCACAGTAAAACTGCATGGAGATGTTGATGCAGTGCAGACCTTTCATGGGAAGTGGTTTGGTTGATGTTATTCTCAGGGGCTTAACCTCTTCCCCTGCTGGAAGCATTCCTGCAAGTGCTTCAAGTTGTTGAAGGGAAACTCTCACAAGGTCCAGTGGTGTGTAGAAGATGTGCCAAAATGAGAAGGCTCCGTGCATATTGAAAATGTGTTCAGGAATGCTGGAGAGAGCTCGGATAGGAGCTGCAGTTCCATATCGCGGTGTAAGGTTTGTGCTAAGCTGACCATCTCTTCTGTCTGGCCATAGAATTATGCTAGAGAGACTTCTCTGCTCTCTTTTGTGCTGTCTTCTGTTCTCAAGCTCTGCATTATAAAGGTCTGCAAAAACAAAAATTCTGCAGAGCATCCTGTTCCTAGTACAGCTCTGAACTGGTGATGACCAGGTGTAAATGCCATGCAGAACATATTTCTGAAGGCAGGCCTTGTTTCTCTTCCCTAAGGATGTATCTGCATCTACCAATAACTTGACATGACATAATTGTATTTCAGCTGCCTCCAGTGTCTTTCCTGAGTTACAATACATGCATACCCTGTAATTCAGTAGGGTTGATTTGAGGATGTTTCTTTCTGCAGTGGGTCAGTGGCAGTTGTTTTAGGTCTGGTGGATCTTCATGCTTCATGCTGAAGTCCTAAGGCTCACCAGCTCAGAGAAGGATCTTTCCACCTGAAGTGATAATGTTAGAAATAGATCAGTAAGGTAAACAGTGCTATAGGCAATTAGTAGGAGGATGAACCTCAAGTTTTTGTTGTGAGATTTCTTTTCTTTTAACGTGCTGTCTGTCCCTTGTAACTCCACATTTTAAAGGAAGTTCAACGGAACTACTTCTTAGTGACTGGAAAATATAAAACCAGGTAGTTGAGAGCTACTATCTTGTACTGTATCGTATCTTATATTTAATAGCATGAAATCAAATCCCAAGTTCCATTTTTCCATACAGCTCTGCTGACATGATTAACAGGATGATACAAGATAACTGAGGTCTTGGTGAGGCCTGAATGCATGAAAGTTGTGACTGTGTAGGTTTCTCAAAATAAATTTTTGATTACAAGGTACTTTGTAGCCAGAAAATGCCAGTCATCTCCTGTGTTGTCAAAGCGTGTCATGAGGTGAAGGCAAGAATCCAATATAGAGAAGCAAGACCACCAGGGTAATCTCATCTGCTGGCAGCACAGACTGTTTCTGACATCTTTTGTAGGTATATTTTTCCAATGTGTTGTTGTTTTTTTTCTTCCAGTGTGTGGCTGTGACTTGGCACAAGGAGGCTTTTTCATTAAGAATGGGGAATACCTTTGCACCTTGGATTACCAGCGCATGTATGGTACCCGCTGCAACGGGTGTGGGGAGTTTGTTGAAGGAGAAGTAGTGACAGCTCTGGGAAAAACTTACCATCCAAACTGCTTTGCCTGTACAGTTTGCAAGTAAGTCATCTCTTTCAGCCTGTGTGACCTGAACCCAGTACAACATCAGGGAGAAAAGCATCGCCGTGAGACAGAAGTCGCAAGATCTTTGTAGGAAACATTTGTTTGGAAGTGCTGCAAGTCTGAGTGTCTTCAAAATACCACTCATTTATCTGCAGGAGGTAGCTTCTCTGTTACATGTAGCTCCCTGTTCTCAGAAGCTTATTCTCACATGTGAAGGAATACTAGACTTACATGCCCCTACAGGCATGGGTTTAGCTGTGGTGATGAGTCCAGCTCAGAAATGAAAAAAGAGGTAGAGCAAACTCCTGGATAGTACAGTGGAGAAGTTATTGGGACTATAAATTCAGTTGAACAGTTGAAAACACCTGAGGGCTCATGTGCACAACACGTAGTAACACTAGTCTTTGGGACAGCTCTGTTTCTCCCAGTTCTTTCTAAGCACTGTGTCCTGTCCCCCAAAAGTAAAGCAGTTTTTAGTTCTACAGGGAATACAAACAAGGAAACTAGAACAATGCCATATGTGTTTCGTTTTGTAGAGATATACGGATGTTCATTTGTTAAGCAAACTGTTGAAATGATGCGTAGTGTAGGGCAGTCTGTGTTTGGAAGAGTAAAGCTCCTCATTAAGTATTTGGAGTTGCTGAAGCTTCTCATTTTAGTGAAATGCTCGTGCATTTATACACCAAACAAGAGCAGCAATGTCAACTTTGCCCAGCACAAACTATTAACGCTCATTGAGTTCATCAGATAATCTCAAACTTCTGTAGTCCATTCAGCCTTTACCTTTCTCCTAACACCATCTGCCCAAGCAACAGTTGGGGGTGTTTCTATAACACAGATAAATATTTTAAAACTTTAGGATAATGAAAGCAGCTAGCACTTCATTTTTTGTGAATCATTACATCCACAGTAATATGTATTTCATTGCTGAGCACAGATTAAGCTAATCTATTTTTGAGTTCCCTGTCCTCAGACAAGTGCTTCATCTGAATACCCTGCTGTACTGTTTGCTGTCAACAGCATCATGCTGAGACTGCTGTAAATGTAGCTGTTGTGTCTAAGCAGATTTCTCTGTCATCTTCTCCTTAGATAAAATGTGTTTAATGTCTTGTATTGTGGTTTCAGTAAGTTAAGTCTGACCTCTGCTCTTCTTGCATGTGTGGATTGGATTTTTTCCAGTGCCTGACTTTGCCAAGGCCATATTGCAGAAACTGTTTGGCCTGAGTTACTGTAACATGTTATTTGCAGAGGGAGAAGTCAGCAAGCTCGCAGCATAGGGACCAGAACAAAAATTTTGGCATAATCTCTGCTAAAATACATTTTTCTCTTTAACCCAGGCGTCCATTTCCACCAGGTGATCGAGTTACCTTTAATGGAAGGGACTGTCTCTGTCAGCTGTGTGCTCAGCCAATGTCCTCCAGCCCTAAAGAACTGTCTGCCTCAAGCAGTAAGTACGCCGTCTTCTTTCTGAATCCTCTTGCATTTTTGGGCTCATCAGCATTTGATCAAAACTAGCTTGATTCAGTCTTTTAGGTTTTTGATGCACATATATATATTTTTGTCCTCCTTTTAGAACTCTGGGCTGCCTCTGATAATCATCTTTTTTTTTCTTCTTCATTTTTTTTTATTTTTGGTTCTCAGGAATTGTCTGGTTTGACAGCTCAGAGGAGACATTTACTCATTTCAGTATGAACAAATGACTTTTACCCAGAAATTGGATGTTCTGAAGGGCTCATTTTCTTTTACAGGCATTGGAAAAGTATTTTCTTGATGAAATCAGAGGTTTCAGAGTTGATAGATTCCTGTTTTCTCGTGTATAGTTACTCAGGTGTAAGTATTAAAAAGAGAACAATGTTATAGGAAGTTAATTTTCTTCTACTCTTTATCACTTCAACAATTTAATGAAGTCTAAGAGTTTATTTAAATTATTTCTTTAAGGGAGTATCACCAGGTTTGCCTTTGACAGATTGATACTGAAATGAGTTTGTGATCAGAAACCATTCATTTTCAAGAACAGTTCTCAAGAAATCACTCAGAAAAACCAACAAACAACCTAGAAAAGAGCAAGAAAGCAAGTTAAGCATAAGACTTGAAATCCTAGGACTGCAAAGTGCAATGTAAAGGCATAATTGGGTGATGTTTGTGCTCAGTGGATGAGTCAAGTGCATCTCAGGTTTTCTAATTTGACTGAAAAAGTGTAATCAGACACTTAGATGGAAAATGAAATCTGATTTTTTGATCCTGTGCCTTTCTGTCTGATAAGTTATTGCATTCTAGCTGTCAGCTTGGAGATGAAAATGCATGGGTCTAATTGGTTAGAAAGAATTCAGGAATCTGTGGAAAGCCCTAGAAGATACAGTGCAAGGTTCTCATCATTTTGTTTTGGAGACCCCTGCTCTAAGCAAATGAAATTTGGATCAGCATGTGTTTGTAACTAAAGAAATACTAATGAAGTGTCCTCCTAGCAGTGTGCTCAGTGATATACCAGCTGCTACTGTAGCACCAAAAGTTGACACAGATACTGAAAAACCTTTCTTGCTGACACCGAAGAGTAAATTTTAATTAGTCTGAAGTGTTCCAAATCACTTTCACTACTCCTGAGTGAAACCCTTCAATCTTTTCTGATGCTTTGCCCTTTGAATGGATGTTATGTGTAACTCAGCTGTTTTGTTTTCATAAGAAAAGAGAAGGGACTCATTCATACCAAGCATCCATTTTCTGTCCTATATTGCTGTTAGTTTTCCCTTATTCAAGCAGATTACTGGAGGCAGCTTTCCTCAAAACAAAGAAAATTGAAGGTGAAGAAATCCAACAAACCGAATGTATATCAAGTTTGGTTGGTTTGTGTGATGTAAAAGGAAACTGGAATACCTACATTAGTGTTGGCATGTAGTTTTCTCATGTCTCTTCACACAAATTAAAGGCTTGTTGATAGCTTTTCTTGGGTGCTTTCAAGGAAAACCAAATGCTTCTCAATACAGGGCTTTAACGTCTTGAATATCATGAATGTGAATACTGTTACAGTCTGATAGTTCCCACCCATAAAAATCAGAAGGAAAAATATTGAATAAATAATTTCCCTTTTATTTTTGCTTGGGTTGGTGGTACTTCTTTATCATACACACACACACATATATGCATGTATGATAATATATATATTATCATATATGTATGATATATATGTATATAAAATATATATATATATATATATATATAATATAAAAATATGTATTTCATTCCACATATGTATTTCATTCCACATATATGTTACCTGGAATAATTGTAGCATTTCAGTGACTTCTTTTTTAATCCTCATTTTATAAGACAGTCTTTTTTGGTGCACAGATGCTATAAATCAGAAATTAGTCATCCATGTTCCTTAGACACTGCTAGATATATCCAGTGGAGTTTTCATTGAAGTTGGCAGGAAGTTTAAGGCCAGATGCAGGGGACAAATGCCTGGTATTTAAAAATCAAATTGTGGAAAAGAGAGGATGTTGAAACAGATTTTGAAAGACTAGAAGTGTGATGTTATGGCTTGGACAGTTGAGGATTTTCAAGATTCTGTCAAAGACAAGAGGTTATTTTTCTTTGGGTCCTAGTAAGGAAGTAATGTAAATAATGTATCTGGTTAGATAGTATTTGTGTTTTAACCAGTATCTGAGTATTTATACATCATAATAATTGGTTTGTATTGTCTTAAGCTCCTTCTGCTTTCCTTTGTATAATGGCCACATGCTTACATGTATGTATTTCTTATGGTCAGAGTGAGAAGAGCCAGAGCCAAATTGAAACATGTAATTATTATTACTTATTTACTCAGAGGCAAGTAGATTGGCTGTGTTACCAGCTCATCATAGAATCATAGAATGATTTGGGTTGGAAAGGCCCTTTAAAATCATCTGTTTCCAACCCCCTCCTATAGGCAGGGATGCCTCCCACTGGACCAGGCTGCTCACAGCCCCTTGCAGACAGGGCTTCAATGCTTCCGAGAGGGGGCATCCACAACCTCTCTGGGCAGCCTGTGCCAGTGGCTCCCCAGGTTATCTCTGATGCTTCTCTGTGAAGTCTTTTCATCAGTGAATTCTCACTAGTTAAGCAGGTGAGTGAATTGATGTAGGCGTTTGAGAATAAAAATGCCTAGTTTAGGTGGACATTGGTTGTCAGAAAGTGCAATGCTGGCTTGAGTTTCGCCTTGAATGCACAAGAGGTGTAGTGCAGTGTCCAGCTCAGAGCAGAGCTGTCCTTGTGCTCAGGGTGGGTGGTGCCAGCAGCCTGTGCTGTCGCAACCTGAGCTGCCAGTCGGCTGGGATCAGTTCTGAAATTCAGAGGAGGCAATGTGTCTTTAAGCACAGTTTAGGACATTGCCCTTTTCCTTGAACACAGATTTTTCCCTTAGGCATTTCACTTCAGAATTTCCACAATAAAAGCACATCACTAATGAGAATATTACATTATTTCCTGCCTGGGATTGAGCCGTTTCTGTGTTGGCTCCTTGTCTGGTTGCTGGTAAGGCCAGATCATTTTAGTGATGAAATTAGAAATGCAATTAGAAATGTGCATTTCAAGTAGGATTTCCAGGTGGATAGGAAAAACTCGCTGTCCAAAAAAAGACTGAAGCAGTACAATCACCCAGCAAGTTTTCATATGAAAAATGCATCATCTTTTAAAATCACAGCTTCCTTTTCTTAGTGAAATAGATACTTGTGTGCTACACTTGCTGAGATGTGCAGTGATACCATCTAGACAGAGGCACAGGGAAGATAGCTCGGTGCTTCTTTCTTTTCTAGTCTCTGCTGTGAGTTAAGAGCATTACAGTACAGACACAGCATGGACCAGAGTTTCCAAAATGGCCAGTCTTGCGTGTGCATGAATAATATTTGGTGCAGCTGTTCCTCAACTAGACAGCTTCCACGTGGAGCTTTCACAATGCTGTTCTGTATATTTGTCCCTGTCTGTTTTGCACATTATGTTCTGATTCAAAGAACGTAAGTTCTCTGGGCCAAATGCTTTCATGCCTATCTATGCAGAGTCTAACAGAGATCCTGACTCACAACTGGGGATCTTAGCTCTATTGTGATATAAATAATAAGCTTAACGCTTAATGAACTTGTGGGAAAAAGATATCGGTGTTAATTATTCAGTAGCCTTATCTCTTCAAACAAGATACAGTAAATCTCCCAATAAATAGCTGAAACTTCCAGCAAGCCTTGTGGTAAAGCTGAAGTAGAACAGAGCTGGCATGCTTTATCTGTTGAAGAAGGCAGTCAGGAATAAATGGGAATCATCTTTTGCCTCACTGCCCTAGAAGTGGAGAAAAGAGCTTGTTTTAGAAACAGCAGTGCATCAGAATGGAGAAGAAGCAAATTTGCATTGTGCCCTTCTCTTCAAGACTCTTAATGTCCTTTTATACCCTGGACATATTTGTCCTTCGGGTCTGTAGGGAAGACACACAAACTGAAAGGGAAGACTTGGCTACTTGCAGTCAAGCTATCTGCAATGATTTTTGGCATTAAAGGATATTAAGCAACATCTAACACATGATTTTGAGCTCATTCTTTGGAAACATCTACAACTTCACACTGTGTTAAAGCTGCATAATATGTATAGGTATTGTCTGAATAGATGGCCCTAAGTGAAAGACTCTGAGCCCAGTTTTGCCTCAAGGATGCATGTTCGTAGCAGCCATATGCTTCAGTGGGTGCACTGGTGCACTTAGAGAAGGGTCAATAATGTTGGGTTTGAATGTGCTTTAACTGGGTTCAAATGGAGTTTAAAATCTTGTATAAAATTTTGATTCTGGAGGGACAAGTATTTTGTGTATGTGCTACAGGACACAGAATTATAGAATGGTTTGAGTTGGAAGGGACCTTTAAGATCATCTAGTTCCAACCCCCTGCTATAGGCAGGGACACCTCCCTCTAGACCAGGTGCTCACAGCCCCATCCAGCCTGGCCTTCAATGCCTCCAGGGAGGAGGCATCCGCAACTTTGTTGGGCAACCTGCTCAGTGTTTCTCCACCCTCACAGTACAGTGTTTCTTCCTTATATCTAGTCTAAATCTAAGCTCTTCCAGTTTAAAGCCATTTTCCCTTGTTAAAAATTCCTGGTTAAGAAACTGGGGATTCAGCTGAGGATATATGGGATTTGACAAGGAGTTACTCTGTTCCTCTTCAATTTATTTATCATTGAATCAAAACACTGCAGACATAATTGTGGATTGATTTCAAACACTGTGATTTAAATCACTGATTTTAATCATGGCTTAACTAAGAACCCAGGAAACTTTGATTAAAATAATTGATTGGAAGCTTGTTTAAAGTTTATATATTTAATTATTTTCCTAAATAAAAAGTTAACTGCTAAGCATGAGGATACTCCATATCTTTAAACATTTACTTAAACTAATACAACTCTGTATAAGGTAATCAAATCCTTTAACATCTGT